AGCCCCTGGTAACCATCATTCTACTTTCTGTCTTTATGAATCTGACCATTCTAGGTACTTCATGTAAGTGGAACCATACAATATTTGCCTTTTTCTGTTTGGTTTATTTAGCATAATGTTTTCAAGGATCATCCATGTTGTAGCATGTATCAGAATTTCATCCCGTTTTAAGGTTGAATAATATTCCATTGTAAATATATACCACATTTTATTTATCCATTCATCCATCCATGGATATTTGGATTATTTACGACTTTTGGCTATTGTGAATAGGCTGCTATAAATAGCCCCTCCCCACTTATAAATACTGCAGTTGATATACAGGATTTATGTAATTGAATTTCCATCCTGACTTTGACAAAAATGGAAGTTCCTAGAGGGAAAGATAATGTTGCAGAGTTCTTTCATGTGCCTCCTCATCAGGAGCACAATGCTAGAAACAGGATAGCCAGGATGATCCTTTCACAAACACGGGGCTCACTCTGCTCCTGGGAACTCACCCCTGACTTCCTTTTGTTACAATAATCTATGAGGTTCTTTGCCACAGCCCATGAGGCCCTACGTGATCTGACCTGACTTCTAGATTTTGCTTTCTCTCCTTCCCTTCTACTTACCTTGGTCTTCTCAATATATTCCTCAAATGAACCAAGTTGAAGATGCTTCAGCGCCTTTGCAGATTTGCTGTGCCATGGTCTAGAAATCTCTTCCTTTAAACCTTTGCCTGGTTCTCTCCCTCCCATCTTTCAGGAGCCAAATCAAATGCCCTGCTTCAGAGAGTGCTTCCCAGACCAACTGATTTAAAATGTCAAAGAGCCACCGTTTGCTTGATTTTTCTTCAGAACATAGATCATTTTTGGTTTCCTCCTTAGATCGTGAGCTCCAAGAAAGGGAGAACTTTGTATTTTTTTGTCCTGTACGGTATTGTCCTGCCTCTGCTAGCACAGACTTACTTTTCTTTCTCCCCCCACCCCCAAATCAGAAAACCCATGTTCCTTGCAGGCAGAGGTGATCCCCCTATCCCTAGGCCAAAGCAGTGGGATCCAAGCCAGGGCACCTGGATTTCAGATCATACTCCTGCTCAACTACAAGAAGCTAAGCTGTGGCCCCTCCCAGGCCTGGAACACAATAGACGCTCAGTAATTGGTCTACTGAAGTATAGCAGCTGAGATCATGTACACAGAAACCTTCAGTGTCTCTCTCCTCTCCATCCCATCTTCCAGCTCCCTAGAGGATTCTGTGCAAAATTGTATTTGAGCTTTTTCTTGTGTCTTACTGAGTGACTTGTTAATCAAAGCTACACACAAGCCTGGTCAGCCCTCAATGGAAACTCTAACCCATTAACCCAACTTTAATCCTGGACTCTGATCTCCTACAATGTGGGATGCTAGGAGGAGGAAACTCCGGGGGCTTTATCCCACTCACTGAGACAATACCATTTGAGACATGCAGGCAGCCCATTAGCTCTGGCTATTTTTCTGGGAAAACTGATCTGGTCATGGGATGAATTAAACAAGAAATGTTACTTTCAGACTGAGTGGCCCTAAGCCTATTGTGGGCATTAAATGAGATAATGTGGGTAAAGGGCATACCGCACAGATGCTTTATGAAACTAGTAACTGTGGCCAAACTAAAAGTCCAGCACCAATAGGAATGCTGAGGAGGGATGAACAAGGTTTCGGCTGTGTGCCAAAAACCTTTGGCTGTGACCTGGGCTTCTCCAATGTCATCATCCTCCTGTCACTTGCTCCAAAGCAGCCACTTGCACTTCCTGGTCCTTGACTGCACTATGTTCAGTCCAGCCCCAAGGCCTTTGAATTTGCCTGTGTCTCAGCCAGGAATGCTGTTTCTCCAGATCTTCCTGCATTGTTTCTCCCTCTTAGCCTTCAAATCTCAGCTTAAATGTCACCTCCTTACAGAGACCCTCCCTGATGGCACACCTGAAGTGCTCTCGCCATACTTTTGTTCTTTCAATTGTATTTTGTATTGGTTTCAGGTGTACTTCTTAGTGGTTAGAACACTTTACATAGTGTACTATGTAAGGTGTTTGCAGTAGCCCACCTGGCACCATACAGAGTTACCGCAATACAATTAACTATATTCCCTATGCTTTACTTACGTCCCCATGACTGTTTTATAACTACCAATTTGTGCTTCTTACTCCCTTCAGGTCTTTCACCCAGCCCCCCAACCCCTTCTGGCAACCACGAGTTCGATCCCTGTGTCTATGAGTCTGTTTCAATTTTGTTTGTTTATTTTGCTTTTTCGATTCCACATGTAAGTGAAATCATATAGTGTTTTCCATATTTTACATTTATATTCCTCTTGGCCAAAATCTTATATACGTGCTCATTTATTTGTTTTTCTGGTACACAGAAAGGGTTTAATACATACATTTGGTGAATGATGAACATTTCCTATCTTCCCCTATCCTTCCCATCTTTACTTCCTCATGTGTCTTTTTCTGTCTCTGTCTTTTTCGGGGGGTAGGTGGTGAGTTGTTCGTTCTCTCACTCTTCAGGTGTCCTTGTCATCAGTAACAGGCGTATCTTTCGGTCCCCTCTGAAATGCACTTCAGCAAGAAGGGTCAGCTAGAAGAGAGGCAACAAATGGGTGACAGGTGCAGGCCCACAGCTTTCCTGAGGAGGATATGAAACCCTTTCCTGCTACCTGCCCTCACCTTGGCTTTCTTAGGGTCCTTTGTTGCTGGCCCCATTTGTCAAGGGCTGTACCCCCAGGCTGGTCTGGCCTAGCACAAAGCCAAGGGGGTATAAGAGTAGAACAGAGCAGCACGTCAGGAAGTGTCAGTCTGTGTGTCAGTCTACCTTTAACGCTCTAAACTTGGCCAAGTCCTTTAGCTACTCTGAGTCCCAATTTCCTCACCTGTGGAATGAGGCCTGCAGTGACATAATTTCCAGGGTGGTGAGGGAGAGGGTTGCTGGACCCTAAGCAAAGCCGGACACGCTGGTGGCATTGGACTCCCTGTGTTTGCTGCAAGCCTCGGGTGTCTTGCTTCTCTCCTTGGAGATTATCAAGATCATCACACATTTTCAGAGGAACCTGTTGGATCTCCCGGAACAGACTAAGCTTCCTAGTTATGTGACCTCTTAGCAGTGTCTTTTCTTAACAGTCACAGTGTTTATGGTTGTAGATGATGTGTCCTCCACCGGACTGTAAGCCCCATGAAGACAGAGACCCTCAATATATTTTCAATGCCCAGTACAGCACTTGGCCCAAACTAGGTTCTCAGCAAACATTTGAAAAATGAATCAATCAATCAAGCACTCACCTCTTTAAAACCTGAGTTCAGGAAACTTATTAACACTGGTGACAACGACACAAGTTACTACCAGGTTCATCATTTAACAAGGCTCAAACTTCTAATATAGAGGAAGAGAAAATAAGTCTGGGAGCTGAAATTTCCCCATCTAGATCTGATAAGCCTTGATCAGTCCAGACTTTGCCACTAACTTCCCGTGCGGCTTCAGACAGGTTGCTCGGATTCTCTGAGCATCAGGCTTGTCACGTATGGGTCCATGAATGTATGTGGTAGCAGGACCTGGAGATGTCTAAATAAGTATGGAATATGGCTGCATTAAATAAAGCAGTTGAACCAGATGCTCTTTGTGGTCTTTTTAGTTCTAAAATCCTGAGACTCAATTTTGCAAGGTAGAATGGGAGAAGGGGAGCCAGACATAGGATACCACTCAGGCGATTCAGTCCAATGTGCACATTTAGTGGCATTTCAGCTCTTAGTCTGAATAAAAAGAAAGGGTTTGCAGGATGCCTATTTGAAATGACCTCTAGACAGAAAATTGCCTCTCTCTTGGCGTCTACTTTGTCATTTCCACAGTGAGATGCCAATTAAAACCAATCCTGCCAACTATAAGGGAATGCTATTGAATCAAGACAGTGGATGTGGAAGGTTGGAAGGTGCCTTGAGTAGGGTACAGTTTGAAAGAGCAAACAGAGAAGGCCATAAACCTTGAAGAGTAAATATACTACGTCATTGGGTGGGTACATCTCAAACAGGCAAGCCGCAGTGTCAGATGCAAATATCAGGTGAAGAGGGAGCCATCCTCCTCCTGGTACAGCCACTAAAATAAATATCAGGGCTTGGGAAACGAGAATGCTTCCTGTTTAATTACTTTTCATTTTTGCGCAAAGGAAAAAAGTTGTACAAAGACACACATAGAGAGGTGGTGGGGTGCAGGGGAAAGGGGGCTTCCCGGGAGTCTGAGACTTGGAGGAGTGACTCCCATCTGTGAGCTCCTCTGTAAAATAAAGGGCTGCGTGCTCTGTAACCCAGTGGTCTCAACCTTGATTTCTCATAGAATCACCTGGGGACCTTTGAAACTCGGGGGCCTACTCTGTGCCCCAGACCAATTAAGTCAGAGCTTCTGGGGGTAGGACTTGGACACCCTCGGGTGATTCCAATCTCCAATCAAGTGTGAGAACCATTGCTCAATGGCTTCAGGAC